GATCTGTTCTGTTTAAATTGATTATAGTCTATTATCAATTCAGGTTAAGAAACTAGTGTTGCTTGCATCCTATTTTAAAGGCATTTCTATTTATACTCTACTAAAATGCAACAAAAAAAGGGTTTGATTCTATTTTTAATTGTGTCTTTTTTATTGCACTTTGGCAGCAGATTCCTGTGTAGCTTCAGATCTGAGTTGTCTTATTAGTAAGCCTAATTTATACTTTTGTAGCAACACTATTTTTATATAATGGCAAAGAAAGGGTTCAGTGTCTTTTCTTTTTTTCCTGTGTTATGTGTCAGCACTGTTCAATGCTTCTTGAAAACATTACCCACTGTAGTATGTGACGTGTGAATAAACTCCAACTCTTTATCAACAACACTGTTGTGTAACTTCAGTTAAATACTTGTATGTGTGTAGATTAGAAAGAGGTAAGATAAAGGACCTGCAGTATTTTATGAAGTATTCATCGTACAAAGGTCAGTTTTATACAAGTAGAAGTGTGTATTTACCTGGTAGTAGGCTGTCAGTAATGGCTACGTCTCTCTATTTGGACTGGTAGATCTCGGCAGACTGGCAACTTTAAAAGTAGCTCTCGGTTCAAAAAAGGTTGGGCTACCCTGGTATAGACAATAAAGACTAATTGGACTGCCTCAGCAACAACACAACATTCACACAGACTTACTCGTGTAACTGTCCAGCTTCGGGTGGACAATGTTGACTTTGCCGTATTTCTCCGCTTCTTTTGCTGCTTTTTCTGACCATGTGCCGGTCACCAGGTAATCAGCACATGTGTCCTCTTTGAGTCCGATCAGGTTGAGAGGAACAGCACTGAACTGCCCAGACCCCCCGCCCTGTAGGAACAACACCTTATAGTTGTCCGGGATGGTTCTGTGTAGACGAAAGGTCACTTTGTTAAATACTGGTCCCTTGCAAAGTAGTATATCATTATTTGACACATTATTAACGCTGCACATTATTTTCCATTGTTAAGCTTTCTGGTGTACTAAATTCAAGTGGTAAAGTACATACATGTTAGTAGATTACAACTCATTTGAAATATAATTCATAAATTGTGGAGAGAGAAAATCACAAAAATGAGAAACATTTTGACAAAAAATATAAAAAGTAGAGCAAGGTTGAACTCTTCTTGAATAATCTGATGTTATAACTACTTGGAGAACATGCCTGTTGATCGACAAAAACTATGTTTGCAGCACGGCCCAACCCTAAACCCTTTTTGGCATGCAGCCACCAGTAGTCTAAGAAACAGACAGTTAAAGTGAAGGACTTGAAGGAACATGAAAGAGAATGAACCGGTATAATTAATGTGGCAAATAAATTATTCCTATCATATACTCTGATATTCTTCTGTACATAGGTTTTGGGAGTGCCGGTTTCCCTTGGTGATGCTCTATTAAAAATAAGTCACCACAAAATTCCTAGCCACCTAAAGCCAAAAAGTATGTTACAAATACTGTACATATTGTAAATATTGAAAGTAAAGTAAGCAGGAAGTAAAAATATAGGTAATACAGTAGATGCCATGTGAAACAACAAAAGCAGCACTTACAACAACTCCCGCAAGAGACTCTCTGTTTTGGTGAGGATTTTGTTAAAATCCACAGATCGGTGACTCATCTCTGTAAAAACAGAATCACTTTTTTTTTAAATGTACTAACCTTTAATACACATTTTTTTCTATAATATCTAGATTCTATAATAACATTTAAATGTGGAGAACATCTCTCAATCGGATGGGAACCTTTTTGAACAAAGAGCCGACTGTGGATTTTGTATCTAAGCACTTCCACTGAAGGCCCATTATGAATAGACCTATCAATGATCAGTATGAAAAGCTAAATTGCAGAAAAAAATGCTTTAAAGCAACATTGTAAGCAGTCTTTTAATGCGTTAAGATTTTCAATTACATATGTATCGATCACGAGTAATACAGTAATTATTTCCTCATAAAAAACTGAAATGCACCACATTTTTTGTTTTACTCACCGAGCACGCTTATACCCATACCACTGTAGCTGAGGAGCTCCTTCTGTGCTTGAAGCAGCACCTGCAATATAAAGCAAGGTGTTCAGTTTTTCTTTAAAATCTTAAAACAACCATTAACAAAAAAAGTCTACAAGTAAAAGTGTAAGCAACAACAAGAATTAGAAGTGTCTACAGCCATTAGGGTTGCAAAGGGGCGGAACATTTCCGGTAAATTTCTGGAAAGTTTCCATGGGAAGTTAAGCGGGGAATTTTGGAAATATTCAATGCAAATTATAATTATAATTATACAAAAAACATGACATTTCAACAGATTTTTTTTTTTTTTAACTTTTTTTTTTTAAGTAGAACAGAACAAGTTTTAATTATTTTATTGAACAATTATTTGTTTCATTGAAGAACGAAAACAGGAATGTTGAGTAAAATATTACTCATCCCCCCCAACCCCACTCATTAAAAAATTAACAAAAATGCACCCCCCATCCAAAAATCCCATTCAAAATATTAAATGAAAAGATGTGGCTTCGTTTGTCTTGTGCTTTGGGCTCAAAAGTGTGATTCAGTCTTCTCGAAATCATTTGTGCATGTGATGGAGGAATGCACAGTGCATGTTGGGTGTGTGGTCTATGGAGCTATTTCAGGGTCATACATTTTGATCATTCAAAAAAATACAATTTATTTGAAAGTTCAAGTTTTTATCCTAAACTTTGAAAAATACAATGATGTATTCAAAATAAAAATCAGTATTTGAAATCATTTTTCAGGTTTCACATTGCTTTTCACCTTCAGATCGTTTTTCACAGAGCCAATGTCAACTTCACAGATGTGAATGAGACTGAATTAAGCAGTAGGAGCCTGTGACTGCTACTCTAACTAGGATAATAAAACACAGAAGATTGCTTTTGTTATAAAATCTGAAAAGTGGGATTTATTTCTGACATGTAAGATGTTTTACTGCCATCTAGGGGATGCATCTGCTCCTGTCATGAAGCACAAAGGAGCTGTTTTCCACATCAATGAACGAGGCTGATGCAACTCCACACACAATTGTCATTGTAGCCTGTTGGAGCTGCAGACAGCAGCACTGTCAGCCAACACACATTCTCTCACATGACTGCTTGCAAGCCTCTCATTGCAAGGAAAAAAACTGGCCGACAGATTCACAGTTAAATATGTACATGCTGAGTTTTCATGTTGCATTGCATTACAAGTTTTCTCGTCTTATGCAACGTTTTTATTAGACTAATAAAAGTGAGGATTTTAACTTACGGATTGGGGGAGTTTTGCAGGTCCGGCGCCAAAGTTGATGGTTTGTTTCTGCTCCATGATGTAAAACAATGTTTATTGATGGATGCTTGCTCAGTTTGGTTCAGCGATGTGAATGATCTCCCCTCGGCCTCAGTTATACTTCTGCTCTCTTCCTGCACTCTTTGGCTTGTATAGCAATTATTTCGCTGTGTGTAAAATGCTGCGTTCAAGTCCTCCTCGTAAACAATAGAGATCGAGGAATGAACATAGCGAGTGAAAACTGCAGAATGCAACTTTTGAAGACGTCCAGACTGCTGAAGCCTCATAGTTTATTCAGATGAACTGTGGAATAACCTTATACACAAAACAACACGTTGTATTTTGTCCCCCCTCACTTCCATTGAATGCAAACCACGAAGGGTTAATGTGTGCAGGACAGGAGGACAGGAGGAATGGTTACAGCTAGGAAAACCTGTTTCACTGTTTATGGCACCTGCCTTTTGTTTTAAGAAAACTACCCTTTAACCCAGTTTTACCCCGTTGATAATCCAGGCTTGTAATAGTTTGCTTCGTAGTGTTTTATTCATTCAAGAGCACGCAGTGGAAATACTACCAAAATCGGCATTTCCTGAAGGCAGCACAAGGATCCCACATTTTCAGACAGCCATCTTATTGGCTGGTGTCACATGTCTATTTGGTAAACGGCTGTCATTGGTTAATATCGATTTAGATCTGGACTGATTGGCTCCACTGTTACGCCACAACAATGTGGGCGCGGGCCTGACACGCACGTGACAGACAGACAAACAACTTTCCTTAGAAACGGTTTATTCAAATAAATGTAAACTTCAATGAGTGAATGAAACTCTGTACCAGATGGAGGCGTGTGGTGCAGTGGGTTGTGTGTTGGACTTCGGATCAGGGGGTCACAAGTCGTTGTCGTTGTGTCCCTGGGCAAGACATTTCACCCCAAATTGTTCCTGTGGGGATTGCCCACTATAGAGAGGCGAAGTCCCTCCCTTTCCGGGGGAGCTCATGGGACCCCGGAAGCGGAAAATTATACATTGAATTCAATGGAGAGAGAAAACGTATCTTTTGATCCCGTTTGAATTGTGCCACGAACTACACATATGATGCTTGTCAATTTAAAAGAACATTTTGCAAGTCAAAAAAATAAAAATGTGTCGTAAAACTGTGAAGTAACACATTTTTTTGTGTTAAGCCGCTCAGTGAACTACATGTCTCTGGTCCCGCACAATACGCGTCACCAACACAAAGATGGCCGTCACGTTGGCACATTTCACCTCATTCTTTCAGAATGAGAATAAAAGTATAAAACGAGGTGAAAATCACTACAAGTCTGGGCACGTTGAGAGCTGTACATACACGAAAGAGGAGTTAGTCGGTTCTGTAAGAGCCAGCATGCGGGACCGGCTTTACAAGGTTTCGGTGAGTAACATGAGTGCAATGTTTAACGTTAATGTCAGTCAATAAGGAGGAGAATGAAAAAGAAGATGATGAACCACAGACCCGGCATATAATGACTGCAGTGTGCAGGGCTGTGTTAATTTATGTTACTGTTATCAATAGCATTAGTTGACTGAGAAAACCGTCAAGAAAGGAAGTTTAGCGATGTTACGAGTCGACTAGTATAATATGCCCACGGCTGTGATTGACAACCTGGACAGCC